TCACTGAGAATTCTGTTCTGTTCCTAATTCCATTCACAGAAATGTGTTTCTGCCAGAGTATTCAAGCATATCACCAAAGTAATAATGATACATAAGATGTGAGGCAGACCTTGGGTACTGTTGCACACATGCATTTGTTCACAACTGGACAGTTTAAGGTGATTTGTCTTGAGCACAATTTTGAGGGAAAACATCAAGGATATAGATATTTGGGGGAGGTGGGAATAAGCACTGGGGAGTGCAAACACATGAATGTTTACAGTGGTACCTCAGGTTACATACGCTTCAGGTTACAGACTCCGCTAACCCAGAAATAGTGCTTCAGGTTAAGAACTTTGCTTCAGAATGAGAACAGAAATCGGGCTCTGGCAGCGCAGCAGCAGCAGGAGGCCCCATTAGCTAAAGTGGTGCTTCAGGTTAAGAACAGTTTCAGGTTAAGTACGGACCTCTGGAACAAATTAAGTACTTAACCCGAGGTACCACTGTATTAGTTTGCCGTTTGGCACCCTGGAACTGGTAACATTAATATATTTATTCAGATACAGACTCTATCCCAAGTCACAATTTTAAGTTTTTATAATCAATGAGAATTAAAGCAAGTAAAGAACTGTTTTATCACACAAAGAATTTTGTAATGACAGATTATAGATGGTCTTTTAACACTTAACAGAATGTGGCAATTCCGTGATTTTTTTTAAATAGGAAAGTAAGCTATTTTGGAAATCCAAATCTTTAGAGATGATGTCCGTCCAAAATTTCTAAAAAGTTGTCTACTCATTAAAAATATTACCATTGTCTTCTTATTAAATTCCAGAACCAGATGAGATAGCCTTGCTGACAGCAAAACAATAAAGCACAATCTGGTACACATAAAACACCAAAGCCCAATTAACATAGCAAAATGTATTTCTTCCTCTCCAAAGGCAGACACTAGGCATTCAGGAGTGTTTAAAAAACTCCATTTGCCTTTGTTACTAAAACCCTATTCAGTCTTGATCATCATTAATTGGAGTCAAGATATCTTTCATGTACTTGGTTTTCGAACACAATGCGTTCCACAAATCCATTCGACTTCTGAAACCAAGGCACGGCATGCGCATCTCGATTGCGCAGGTATGCCAGAAACAATAGCGGAAGCCGCATTGGACAGGCGGCTTCCAAAAGAATGTTCAAAAACCGGAACACACAGTTTCAGGTTTTGATCATTTGGGAGCCAAAACGCATGAGTACAAAGGCATTCGACAACCAAGGTACAATTATGTCCTAATGAATCACCAGTTTTTCTCTCTCATATACAGGGTGAGTCCTTTAAAAGAGTTCCCATGGATACAGACTACACATGCTCCACAGGGCCTCTTTTAAAATACTCACCCTGTATATACTGGGTGATATTCAACTAAGTCTGACTCAAAGGAGTCTCACTTAAGCAAAGTTAAGTTTATTAAGGATTATTTTAAGCAAACAAACGAGAAACCAATTTTTATGTTTTAGCTGCTGTTATTGTGTTTTTAAAATGCTTTGTTCCATGTTTCTTTATCTTCAGTGTAAGTCTAAGTGGCATGCAGACAAAACTGCTGTGGAACTGATTAGAAGACTGAGCACAGTGCTATTAAATTCAACTGTAAATGAACAATTAAGACAAAAGTCCAACACAGTCATGTTTATTTCAAGAGAAAGCTTCTTGGAGATGAGGGAATTGTTAAAAAGAACGTTGAAAAAGAAAGTTAAGAGGGTTAAATTTTCCCAGAATGCTTGGAGGTTAGCCAAAACTAGTAAGACGCTCAAGTAAAATGTACAGTACAAAGAATGAAGGATACCACAAAGTCCAAGAGGACACTAGAGTGGTTAATGAGTAAGGAAGCTGGTAGACAGTCAAGACCTTTTCTGAGGAAATGAAAGTCTTGGTCAAATAAGGGCAACAAAAGATCACAAATGGCAAAAGCACACAATAAAGAACAAAAGGAAAGAATTTGAGGAATTAAACATATTTAAATATATCAGAATCTGGCAACTAGCCAAGGAGGTGGTTTGACCTTTGGCTGACAAAGGAGCTAGAACTGTCTAAGGAGATTGCAGAAAAACTCAATAAATTCTTTTAATCTCTCTTAAACTATAGAAAATGTAAGGTAGAGATACCAATAACTGAACTGACTTTTCTAGGAAGACAGCCTAAAAATCTGAGGCAAATTGTGGTGTCAAGAGATTAAATTCTAGACCTTGCTGACAAATTAAAAAATAATCACAAAATCTTTTCAGTATCTACTCTGGCGTTTTTAACGAATGCAGAACGACCTACGGATGTCCTCTGTAAGGTCAGGAAATAATGCCATCCACTATGCCAAATGCATAGAACTACATTCAGAGTCTCTTCTCCATGGGTTCAGAAACCATGATTCCTCAGGTTCCCCATATGCGCTGAAACACCTTCCTACAAGGAGGAGGAACCTGAGGCCTTTCAGAAGTTGTGGTACCACATTATCACTGACTACTGTCTATGCTGGCTGGAGCCTGCCACTGCAACATTCACTGGTTGCTTCACTTTGTGTGCTATGGATTGCAAGTTTGTGGGAGATTTTCTGTTGTTTGGCTCTAGTGTTTGCTGTAACCAAATGTATAGGTGTACAGTGGTACCTCGGGTTACATACGCTTCAGGTTACATACGCTTCAGGTTACAGACTCCGCTAACGCAGAAATATTGCTTCAGGTTAAGAACTTTGCTTCAGGATGAGAACAGAAATTGTGCTCCGGCGGCACGGCAGCAGCAGGAGGCCCTATTAGCTAAAGTGGTGCTTCAGGTTAAGAACAGTTTCAGGTTAAGTATGGACCTCCGGAACGAATTAAGTACTTAACCCAAGGTTATGCTCTGAGTTTTTGTTTCTTTTCGTCTTTTTGTTTTTTAAAAAATATGGAAATAAACTATTCTTAAAAGTGCCGCGCTCTCCCAAACACACAATAAACACAAGATTTCACCATAACTTTCAACCTATTTTGAACGTGCAAATATTGTTGAAACTACTTTTCTGCAATAATCTATGCAAATTCCTAATGAAGTGAGCATTTTAACAAGTTATATTTCGTAGTCATACAAGTAATTGTTTTTGTTTTTTTTAAATCACCATGAAATTACTAGAAGGCAGTACTTTTCTTCTAGGGAAAAAAGGTGCCAAGTACAGTGGAACCTCTGTTGTCGAACGTAATCTGTTCCAGAAGACCGTTCAACAACTGAGGTGCAATTGCCAGTCGGCAATTGCAATGGAGAAAATGGAGAAACACGCTTCGGAAGCCATTTGACTTCCGAGGCGCATTTTAAAACTGACTTCCGAGGCGCATTCACTTCAGGGTTGTTGGCGTTCGAAAGCCGAAATGTTTGACTTCCAAAGCGTTCAACAACCGAGGTTGCACTGTACTAGGTACCCTTGAGTACCCCCAGAAAGAAAGCACTCCTGAACATTATAACTGGAAGCATTGTATACGCTAGGACAATCTGCTCCAGAAAGTAGTATTTTACATTTCATTCTCCTTAAAAGTTTAAAACGTAAGAGAACAAGTTACTCTCTTCTGCTGGAGTAAAAGTAAATGAATCAGCACTTCACAATAACAGCATGCCTACTTGTTATTCCAAAGCTTTGAAATTCAAAGCACCCAGCACACTACCAGTGCTAAATAAATTGTTGTAAAAGCTGTGAATAGGGTGGCATGTTTAATAACAAACTGCAGGCAATGAGATAGTAAGATCCTGAATTTTTCTGGCCGAGGAAAGACATGTAAAGACTTTGCATTTCCTCCCCACCCTCTCAAAAGAAAAAGAATCTAAGTGGGGGTTTTTCCATTCTTGAACAAGGAAGGGAAACTTGTGGTCCTCCAGATATTGCTATGCTACAACTTCCATCATCCCTGACCACTAGCCATGCTAGCTGGGACTATTGGTAATATAGTAATATCTGAAGGGTAATATATTGGTAATATAGTAATATCTGAAGGGCCACAAGCTCCCCATCCCTGAACTAGAATGTAGAGATCATGGGCAGAACAGACATTTCCCCCCTTATAAATACAAGGAAGTACAGGCTACTTGCTTATATATTCACCAAGCATGTTTATGTGGTGAGCCTCTTTTACTTATACAAATCCTTTTACTTGTGACCATCTACATTTTAAATATCAGCACACTTAAATATTCTGAGGAACAACTCAGCCCACTAAAAATATTTTTTCCCCAAGTACATATAGTTGCATCAAGAATAATTACACTCTAGAGAATGTTATCAGTAGGAGATAATTGGTTTCATTGGGTATAAGCCAAAAAGCTAAGTGCCTTCAAATCCCCAGGAACAATAACCGGCCTTTTGTTGTTCCATTTGGAAGTTCTCACTTGATAGCATTTGGGGTTTGCTTTCAATACACTTTAACCATGTCTGCAAAGAGTATTCTTGTACACAACATCAGGTGAAAAGACCAACATTCTAAAAGCTCTTACTCAGGAGGTAGTCCTGTGAATTTTAGCAGTGTCTTTAGTCTCAAAATTAACCATCAAAATAAAAAGGCTTATAGCAGGAGGAGTGTAACATGGGAATCATTGAAATACCTTTTCAGCAGATCTAAGCCATGGTCCAGTGACCCGAGTCTACAATGGTAAGTTGGCGGATAACAACAAATTAAGAAATTTGGAGGGCTCTGGTCTTGCTTTTAAGCTATATCTAAACATCTAAGATGAAGCTGAGGCTAGAAATCGCTTCTACTGATGAAAGAAATTGGCTATACTTAGAAGTGAGAAAGAAAAGATTCTTAACAAAGAAGTTTGAAAAATAATTTCAAATAATATTTCATTTTTGCATTTGTAGAATTGTACAGGTTGGAAGGGACCCTGAGGATCCTCTAGTAGTCCAAACCCCTGCAGTGCAGGCCAAAGAGCTGTCCTATGCAAGGATCGAACCTGCAACCTTGGCATTATTAGACCACACATGCACTTCTTTCAAGAATCCGAAATCAGTGAACACAGAGAAAGACTGTGGCTCAGCGGCAGAACATCTGCTTAGCATGCAGAAGGTCCCAGGTTCAATCCTCAGCATTTTCAGGAGAGGCTGGAACTTGAATCTGTGATGAAAGCTGTAGCTTCAACATGGCTGTCCAGGTCTGATGGTTCCTTGGGATCATCAACATATATGAAGATTTGCTGGTAGGGTAGGTGGGGGTGGCAGCTCTCCTTCCTCCACATCTGAGGAGACCTCAGGTTTCAGGTCTGGGCAGGGCCGAACCCTGACATAAACTTGCACACAGTGTTTAAAGCAACAGCACTTTCACAGAGACAGATTGGCAACTATTATATCATTGTTAACCGAAATCCATACAGAAACAGAAAATAAACCTTTGCAAATACATTTTGCAATCATGTGTCTGCAAATGTGAGTGCTAAGGGGAAGGCCTCTTCTATTGGTATAGTCAAATCTTGTTTACCTTGGCCCCTTAATATTTTCAGTTTATTCACAAGTTTTTCATAAATAGGGCAGAATTTCTTAAATGGGTGTAGCTTTTCCATAAATAGGCCAGAATTCATCCCCACTCCCCTTCAAATTTACACACACACAATGTATGAAGACCTTTGTCAAGTGACACTTTTTAGAACCTGCTCAGAGGATGCAAGAGCATTTGTCTTAGGACGAAGGGAGGGAAACGGGCTGTTGCTATATTTGGTATTGTACTTCCAGTTATCAGTGCTCCGCAGCCAATTCCCACACAACAATGTCAGAAGCCGAATTTTCACTAACCCAGATAAAGGAAATGCTTCCAGAATCCATCAAACTGACAGCTGGCAACAGGAATGTTCAATGACTTAATAAAGCATGAGGGTGACAGAAATGAAGTCTCACATTGAGCTGGCACATCCTTGCTGGTTTCAGTTCAGCACATTCCATTGTGCATATTGAGGAGTCCATGTACCACTTTCTTATTTTTCTTTTTTCCCAAATAGAAAATAAAATGATTTGCAGAATGCCCGCATTAAGAGTTTTCATTCCAGTAATTAAGACATCTCAGTCACTTATCTGCATGATCCTGTTGTGATGGCAAGCTTATTTCTAACCTGATTTAAGAGTCTGACATTTATTTTCTGTTCTGGCTTGTTGCCAGACCTCTTTGAGGTGTTCCCTCAAAGATGGAACAGTATACAACTCCTAATGCTTTGCCAGTACAATTTTAGTCATCACTAGTACATTCATAGTAACATTCCTATATACGTCTGACCTGGTTTTATTTTAAAACCCTCTGTTTATATCTGGTTCCATTTTGGACAAAATCTCAGATGTCAGACTAATCCATCACTTTGAGGGAGCACGGATTTCAAAGGAAGAGGTTTAAGCATATTCTGGACACTCACCTCATAGCTGAAGGAATTGGGTATTTAAAACTTTGGGTGGATATTGATTCTGGTCCAAAATATCTTAACTGAGGTATAATTCTACCAAACAAAATAACTGGCATATATATGATTTTGGGCCAATTTCAACGAAACAGTTGGGCTATGTTTCTGGTCTACAGTACTGAGTAGACTATATTTATCTTGAATTGGGAATTTACTCTTAAATCAGTTAATGATCTTAAGTGCAGATAATCCTAAGGTCACAATTGAGGAAATGGTTAAGAACTCTTGAACACCACAGGCTTAATAAAAATAATCAACATGTCTATATCTACTCAGAAGAAAGTCCCATTGAGTTCAGTGGGATTACTACCAAGTAACTGCAACCTAAGTATGTACTTACCTGCTAGAATGATTGGTAGATACTATATTATAATGGCCAGTGACCCTGATTTTAAGATGTTGTAACTAACATCAAAAGGTATTATTATCCTATTGTATGGAATCAAATCCTTAAAGGAATATTACCCATTCAGAACCCATATAGCAGTACTCCTGAGGTCCTCTGCATCACTTCTTCACTTAATGAGCACAGCTCTTTCACTTTTACCACCAGTAACCTACCTACAAACGAACACTAACCTAACTGATCAGCGACCAGCTTCAAGTGATTGAAAACACTTGCTTCTTTACAAAAGAAGTTACATTAACATAGCAGATGACACAACACTGACCTTTCACGAGAAATGTGTTGTTCTTTAGTTTTTAGATCGTTAAACACAATTCTGGCATAGATATAAGTAACAAAGATGTAATTACATGCACATGTTTTTTGAGAACTCAACTCTCACTATATTTTCATGGAAGCAAGGGCCAGACAGGCCCTTGCACAGCACACAACTTCTGTTTGTGGGAAATGAGTGCAAATCCTTAGTCCTAATTGTTAGGAAGAAAAGCTTGGAAGTGAGTTAGTGAAATGTGGTTTTTTTCCATAGACCTGTCTCTACTTCTGATAACTCAGAACCATTCAGCTCCATTGCAGGCTTCTAGTGGAGCACTGGCAGAAGTGTTTGAATACTGTAAATGGCTTTTTGGACCTGGTTTAATTTCTATAACAGTAAAGGAAATATGACCAATGTCATAAGTTTTTCAGTCATAAGTCAGAATTATGACTGTCCCTAAATCCCTTTCAAACTCAGTCCTTCCCTGGCAACATAAAGGCCTTGAACAACAACTAGTTTTACAGGAGGAACACTTTGACCATGGGGGTGAAAGGTAAAAGACTAAGGCTTCTATCTCATCTCCTCAAAATGCCATTTGCAGTGGGTCACCTTGGATATTGTTAAGAGACAGTTTGCTAAGATCCTTGCAAGAATTTTGCCAGCTGCAGCTAATAGAGAGATGCCTCAATAGTTTCCGCAATCAGTTCTGATAATTTTGGCACCCCTAAAGTCTGTTGGGATCTCTTCTCTCTCCCAGATTTTTTCGATGAGCTTGTGAAGTTGTTGTGTAAGTTCAGTTTCACCCACTTTGAAGACTTCGGCAGGTATCCCATCAGGTCCGCTGGCTGTTTTTCATTTGGTTAATTAGCGACTTGCTGAGCATCAGCATATTAGTCACCCACAAGTGGGGCATGAAAGAGCATTTGGGACCTTCTGCTGCAAGAACAACCTTCCACCAGCAAGTACCTCGACCTTCAAAGCACTTCAATGACACAGGCCCTATTGAAGTGGCTTAAATAGAAATGCTAGGATGTGCAATGAATTAAACATGGCAATGGTTTTAAAGTCAAAACTGGATTTTTTTTTCCAATGGAAAAGTATCCCCCAAAAGCATAGTGTCTGTGGCTTCTTTAGGAGACCTGTTTTCTACATGCCTGCATGGTATAAGGTCCCTGCCTAGCATGTTTATTTAGAAGCAGAGTCCTCCAAGGTCAATGGAATTACTTTCTCGTACATGTGCTTAGAATTGCAACCTTGATTGATCAAAATATATCCTATTAAAAATTACACCTTATAAGAAGTTAATGTATTCTGAGCTTCATTTGTCCATTCAACTACAAATAGGAACATACCCTAAAAAACAGAACACCTTCCCTTCAGATCTCAAGGAAATAAACAACTATCTGACTTTTATAAGACATCTGAAGGTAGCCTTGTATAGGGAGCATTTTAATGTGTGTGATGTTTTATTGTGTTTGATGTTTTAATTTGTTGCAAGCCACCCAAAGTGGCTGGGGCAACCCAGGCAGCTGGGTGGTATATAAATTTTTTATTATTATTATTATTATTATTATTATTATTATTATTATTATTATTTCATTGTTTCACGAACACAAGAGGAGGAAACTATACAAGGGCTGAGGAAGGGACATGGCGAAAACCACTCACAGTGGTTTCAAACCGTGAAAGCAATGTAGCGAGGGGGGGAAATTGTGTGTAGTGTGTAGTGTGTGTGTGTAAAGAAAAAGTGTATGAGAAGAAAACAAATAGGTCAGTAGAAACATCCAAGGATTTAGTCTACATCTTTCTTTTCTTATTAAATTGGGGCTTCTGGCAGGCAGCATAGCATGTGTGTTACTTTCAAAGAGAGCTTGCTGGAACACACAACACAGAACTCATTGCTGGAGGGCCGATAGCTAAACACAACAAGGTTCTTCAGGATTATGGTAACTGAGTGTCATCTGCATTTTTTCGAAGTACAATGGATAGCAGAGGTCATCTCTCAGTGAAAGAAGCTATTACTGCTCCGTGGCATTTGTTCCTGTCTCTTTGGATATGCCTTTAAGATGCAACTCTGGCTCCTTTCATTTCAGACATTTTATCTGAAATAGTAGCTGGCGCACTTGCTCTGCTCTATGGCACATTAAGCTTTGTAAGAGGCTCCGAGGCATCCATGCTCGCACACACGCATCTAGAAGTGCTCTGTAGTTAAGCATACTGCCGTTTTCAATCAGGGACTCACAAAACCCATTGTTTAACATGTTTAAACAGTATTTGGGTTAGACATTGTAGCACTGGTAAAGTCACACCATTTCTCTGCTGGATCAAGTACAGTGGTACCTCGGGTTAAGTACTTAATTCAATCCAGAGGTCCATTCTTAACCTGAAACTGTTCTTAACTTGAAGCACCACTTTAGCTAATGAGGCCTCCTGCTGCCGCCGCGCCGCTGGAGCACAAGTTCTGTTCTTATCCTGAAGCAAAGTTCTTAACCTGAAGCACTATTTCTGGGTTAGTGGAGTCTGTAACCTAAAGCATATGTAACCTGAAGCGTATGTAACCCGAGGTACCACTGTAGTCAAAAAAAGTGTTCAAATGTGCCAGAACATTAATCAGGCTTCTGGAATTGCAATTAGGCCCAGGAAGAAGAAGAAAAATAGTATTTAAAAACTGACTGCAGCAAGGTTTTCTAACCTATAGCTTCAAGGTAAGGCAGGGTGAGCATCAGGGTGAGCATGCCAGAATTCAAACATGCTCTGGAAACAAAGTTCTGCTTCTGCAACAGGACTTCTTCTCCTACTCCTCTCCCAGTGTGCCCTCAAAATCAGCTCCAGGGGATCTCCCAACCCTTCGGAAAAAACCTTCGAGGCTGCACAGGGGGCTGCAGGGGAGAGAAGGGGCAATTCCACTTTGCAAACAGAAGTCTGTTGCCCAAATGGAACAGCAGCACCAGGGACAACCCTTCGATTGGCGCCCCAGAGCTGTTAATTTTAAATAAT